CCCATTTGATCTTCCCTGCTGGGTGGGCTTTCTAGGACATACCCCTTGGGATAACTTATCTGTTTTCCTGCACTAGCCATAGATATCCTTCAGATTTTTCAGGCCATGGTCCTGTATTTGATTCTTATGTAGACACCTGTCTTAGCAGCAAGGTGGCATAATGGTTGGTCTGTAGGGTGTGAGGGGGCTCATTTGACTTTGGCTGACTTAATTCTACCTTCAGTGGGCTAGGAAGAAGAGGCACCTGGTTTGATGAAAGAGCAGGTGCTGTACCAACCACCTGCACAACTCCAGGAGAAACAGAGACATCATTGAAAACCAAATTCTCATGCGACTCCCACAGCATCTCCTCTTTAGCCTCATCAACTGTCATTACGAAGCAAAACATATTGACCTACACTGGCATTGGGTTTGGACGTTCCCTTGATTTCACATAAGTAATAACCATATCTTTCAAATCAATGATGGGCTGTACATTCAAGTCCAAAATGTCCTCCACTGTACAGACATGATATTCAGTGGAATATAGCAGCAGACACTGTATTATTTGTTTCTGGTTCAAGGAATTCAATGTGGTTACCTGGTGAAACAGTTTCAGAAATCTTTCTTTGTTGAACCCTTAAAGATGGAGCCATGATATTTTTCTGCCACTACTCCTTGTAGGTTAAAGCAAGGACAACTTATCATCATATTTTTCATTCTGATGAAATTTTAAACAGCTGGTGTTAGAACAGGCACTGGCCCTTTCCTACTGAACAGAATTCTTACATTTTGCCACTGTTGAATTCTTGCTTTGGCAACTCATTGCCATGCCAACAGCATCTCCACTGCAAGTCCACTGAAACTTGAGGTTCAGAGTTGTGTAATGAGAGGGCTCCTGACTTATTGAGGGCACATCAGTGCAGATTATGATGGTGGATAGAAGCAGGCTAGCAAACTTGGTCTATCTATTAAAGCTCATCTCTGACTGTCTCAGAAGACATTATCTAGAGACTAGCATCAACAGTTCTGAATGCCAATCTCTATGGCTCTCTTTAAAGACTACCCCATTTTGTCTCAGAGGATGCACAATTAACCATACCTTCTTGGAGACTTTCTACCTTTTCCTTCAACTTCAGCTGATCAAGACTGACCAATGCTACCTGATGAGCCAGGGCATAATACAGTTGTCTTTATGGGTGAATGGAAAGTAAAGCTCTGTAACACTGTTTTAGTGCAGGGGAGCACACACCACTCAACAATGCCCTCCTCTGTTATCACCCTCAGATCAACCTGGCTCTTCTCTTCTCTGCTGAAATTCTTATTCAGAATGGATAGGCATCTTTTTGATAATTTCTTGTCATTTCTTTTAACTATAGCTATGTCGCAAGTGCATGTCACCACCTTTACAGTGTTACACTCAGTTTTATTAAACAACTATTATCAATGTATGTCAGTAAACTTGGCAAAAATACATAGTTTAGTATTCAAGTTTTTATGTATAATATAGCTTTTAAATTGATTTAAAAAAAAAGAAAATCTTTCATAAATTTTATTGTATCACATGACACTTCTAGGCTCTAATTTGTCCACTTTAGAATTTTTCAAAAAGTAGGATACTGACTGTTCCAACTAATTAAAAACAAATAATATATATAATTATAAACAAGAATCTTAAATTTGCACCTCCTACCTTCCTGCTTTGCTGAGATATCAATAAATCTATGAAACCTACCAAAAAAGCCCTCCCCCTCTCTCGCGGACTTTCAAGACTGTTTGCTAATTGACCAATATAAAGAGAAGATTCTCCACTAACCAGCTTCTTTTTTTCATTACACACAATAGGAATTTCTTAGTTTGTGATCATCATACTATTGCCCTAATTAGCTAAGGAAATATTTTAAACTTCTTTAGACCTTATTAAGAGTACAAAAACAACATTTTTTGGCACAATGAAAGGTCATATATTTATTATTAGTTACCATCTTCAGGACTGTATTACTGAAACTATGAAGTCATGTCATCTTTCAGAGATGTGCTCCAACCCAACAGGGAAGCATCAGTGAAAAGATGGAAATCATGTCAGGGAGCAGCAATGGGATGCCCACTGTTGTATTAGCATGGTCAAGCCACCAAGACAAGTCCTTGAGAAGAAGAGAAGGCAGGGTCAAATTCAAGAACAATGCATCCTAAGAAAAGTTCCAATGATTCTTTAATATCCATTGGAGGAGATGCATGGCCTAAAGAAATTAAGTGGTTCTAGGGAAGCCAAGATCGTTGAAGGTGAAAGAATCTCATGCACAGAGTTTAAATTAGAAATGCAAATCTTGGTGACCAGATGTTCCATTTCTTACAGGTGAAAGTTGAGTCCAATTGAGACTGAGAGTTGAAGAACACAGCTAGATGTATCAAATATTGGGTATGCATGAGAAAAAGATTTGGAATGCTTGACTAGCTAGCTCAACTAAGCAAACTCCAGCAGAAGAACGTAGGTGTGAGAAAATGAGTCCTCCCAAGAAGGGTCAAGTAAAAGCCAATCATCCACATAATAATTGAACCTCGGCCCCAATCAAATATGATGGGTGAATGCTCTCATGACTCAATTGAAGATGTAAGGAGCAGACACAATACCAAAAGGAAGAGCACACAACTGGAAGACTCAATTCTGAAGAGAAGTGGAGGTAACCCATGGGTAAGAACTTGAAGAACCCATCTGTCAGCCAAAAACTGAAACCAAAGGCTGAACGTGTGAGGCAGATGAGCACCCACTGGGTCAGACTTAACAAAATAGTCTCTGATGAAATGAGTGAAGACATGGAATAAGCAGGCCTAGGTACAGAAATAGAAAGACAATGAGAACTACTGTTGGGTTGCATCAGCTCAAGTCTCCAGGGAGTCAGGAAAACCTCTAAAGACTTCCAGGCAAAGATCACAGAGATAAGAGTGAAGCTGAAAGACCTTAGTTAGAAGAGCATCCTGACCCAACAAGATAGGAACCAAGTAAGAAGGGATAGAGCAGAAGTAGTAGTACAGGCTAAATTGTAAAAAGGAGAGAACCTCTTCAGAAAATCCTTCTAGGGCACAACAAATTTCCTCAGAAATAAGGTGAAAGGATGAGAGGTAATGTAGGAGGGTAGTAAGAAAGATGGAGGTGTGAAAATTGGGCACTACAAAGTGAAATAGAAGTAAAGGTGTCCACCCCCTAAGTACGTAAAAGAGATTCCAAAGATTGGGAACCAAGAAAATGAAATGAAGAATAGCTGTAAGCTAAGACAAGGGAGTCAAGGAGACTGAGGCATATGAGTGTGGGTGGGCAATTGTTCAAGAAACAAGTCAGCTTGAACTCAAACATCAGGTGAAAGAGGGTAGAAGACAAAGTAATCTTGAGAATGAGTTTTGTGTAGTAAAGAACAGAAGGAATAGAAAGACATTGAAGAAAGAGAAGGAAAATACCTGCAAAATCATGTCAATAAAGAGATCAGAAGGTTGAGGAATTTCTTCCACAGACAAAGCAGTACTTAGAGCAAACCCTAGTGAGAGGAACAGCTGGTCAAAATCATTATTGTCCTGGTCATGTTCAACTTAGAAGGAACATTAGATGAATGGATGGAGGAGGAGGCCTAGTGTGCATGAGGTCTATGTTTGTAACATCATCATAATCACAGGATGAAGTAAAGTTACCATCACTTGAGAATTCATAATGGGTAAGCAGGAAAAGATTTTTTTCTTTTATAGTGATATTAAATAAACCAGTTAAACTTGAACAAAATTTAAGTTTCATTAACTCTTGCAAATATCACATAATTAAATAATAAGTTTAAAAACACATCTGGTAAGGATATGAATGAAGTTATTTTGAGCCCAAATACTCGAGGAGAGTTATTGCTCAAGAACGTTGTGTTGCTCTTCTATTGGTGGAGGGTTTTCGTTACATAATGATGTCATGCACTAGCGCAGTACACGTTAAATACGTGATTTTTAGGTGGCAGTTGGCTCAAGGCTGGTCGCATGAAAATCTTATAGGCAGATGTGTGAGAGATCAAACTTTTCTGTGTGCAAAAATAAAGTAATGTCTCATAAATTACATGGTCTTGGTATAATGAGCAAACACCACACTTATAAGGTAAGAGTACAAGATAGCAAGAAGAAAAATAACTGAAAGGGACTGAAGATGCAATAATTAGATCCTGTTCACCAGCACCTTTCTTTTTGTCTCTTTGATAATGCAATGTCATACCTGCACACAATTACCTAGCTTGTAGAAAACAGAATCTTGTGGATTTAATGAGATGCAGTGATTTGTAACAAGTGGAATAAAATAGAACAAATAAAAACAGAAAGAAGGCTGACGTATGCACACAATAACATTATTGCCTAGTGGTAGGACTATTTCAGAATGTTGAAGTTACAAAGCAAGATATTTTTTAGTGAAACTAATGAATGAAAAAAAATTAGCTCGAATGACCAGTTGCATAAAGAGGGTACAGAACAAAGAGGAGATTTCCAGATTTCAGAGATCAGTCAGTTTTAAAAGTAGCGAAACTACATCTACAATATACACACTCTTTGCAGGTGACTAATCAGAAGATAGGCTTTGAAATGTGGAAGTACTTTACTCCATGTAACAGTTGCAGGGTACTCACCAAACACAAGGTCAAGAATGACACAATGTAAATATCCCATGAAACAGTGGATAAGTTCCTTGACTGGTCAAACTACAAAAATTAACAACTTAGGTTGATATTTTGCAAATAATCTCAACTGAATTTAATCTTCCAAAATTAGAACTTAGAAACATTTAAGAATTTTGTAGCTATGAAATGTATACTGTAGGAGAGTAAGATATGTAGTATTTATCTTACATGTAAAAAAATTCCCATTTTATGTTTTTGAATAGCAGAGAACACTTTTGATCCAAAAACAATCTCTCAAAAACCTCGAGTATCTTTAACATCAAACTGCAAATCAAGTCAATTCTTAGAGTTGCATTATATTCAGTATTAGAAGTTTCTTACTCTTACCTCAGTTGTCTCAGGTGATTAAACTTGATTCTGTCTGCAGAACTAAGAGTTAATAATTTCTGGTAAAAAGGTGTGTCCACTTTCATGTTCTGGTTGTCTATGTAAAGATCATATAGACTTTTTTTTGTCTCAAAAATCTTCTCTGTTGTACCTGACAATACATGATTCCATGTGATTATTGCTGATTTTTGCTTAATTTCTTGCACACCATATTGTTTCTTTCAAAATAACAAGTTTATAGGTAAGCTATTCAGCTTAAACTTAATTTTAGTAACTAAAAACGTTTCTAAGATTCATGTAGTTTAAGTATGAAGCACAATTTCTACACAAACACTCTTCAGATTCAACTAAGGTATTCTATATATTCTGATAACTGAATCATGTTAAGACTATACACTAATCTGAATAAAATGCTTCATAGAGATGATTAATGAATGTCTGAAGAAAGTTCCATAAAGTATTAGTATGCAGCATAGTGTACCTTAATAAAGGATTGTGTAAGCCCAACATACTATATACTGAGAAGTATTAATGTTAACATTCTTAGTAGACACAAAACAGGTTGATACTGTAAGCTTATCATTCCTGATCATACACATCTTAACACTAAATAATGCAAGTCTGAAAAACATAAAACTATTTGACTACTAAAAGCTCTAGTCTGAAACAAAGAATAAATAGTTATTTTTGAAACTAGGAAAAATGTAGGAATAGCCTACTAATGCTCCCAGTCCTCTAGACACAACTTTTAAAAATTTGAGTAGTTTTGTAAGAAATGTAATAGAATATGGGTGCCCATGTGCAACGAGTACATCCTTGAAATTATTTTTGAGTTTAAGGAATTTGATAACGTTCATACAGACTACATTACAAACCAATCATTTCTCATCTATTTAACATGTACCAACTCAATCAAAATTCCTACTGAGATAAATTATGAAAACTTGCAATAAATATTACATTGAATTTTATTTTACTTTATTACCAATGAAATCACAAAAATATCAAACCCAATTGTAATTGTATATCTATCCAATATACAGAATGAATTATGAAACCCACAATAAGGAAGTTATAATTTTCCTATACTGAAAATGTATTTCTGATAGGTACTTCCCTTTCTCACAAAATTAGCTATTCTCGTTTATTGCTGCCCTCTAAGTGGAAACTTTAAATTACACATGCCACAAGCCTTCTGCACTCCCCCCCCTATTGGAATCAAATGATTCCAACGTGTCTCTCATGCAAATCATCACGTGTCTCCTATCCACCAATAGGAACATAGTACACTCACGTGATGCATGTGACTCCCTCTATGCGCCTCTACCAAACTATCACTTCAAAGTTTGGCAGATGACTGAAGCACTGGAAGCGAGTGGGAAGTGTGAGTGAAGGAAAGTACCTTTTGGAAATACATTTTTAGTATAGGAAAATTATAACTTCCAATACAGTACTTCTTTCCTCTCACAAGATTAGCTGGAATCCCACACTGATTAGGATGGACCACTGTGAGGGAAGAACATATGTAACCCCACAAAACATCTGAAGGATACCCCCCTGTAGATGAGAGAGTCAGATCTGAAGACCAGGAGAGGGGAACCGCACCACTTCTGATCCAGATATACTCTTCACCCATATTCCACTGAGAGAGGAAACAGTAGGAAAGTGATCCTAACCAGAGAAAGATATAGTAACTCAATCCCACAATAATAAAGTGGGTAAATGAGGATGCATCCCACATCTGTGTGAGGGTTGGATAAGAATCATACCGTCTTCACCTCAAACCTAAGAACTGGGGAATTCAGAACTACTCTGATTCCAGGGTATTACACAGGATGAGCTCTGATCTATTAATCCAAGAATGTGACATCTGGTATTGAAAGGAAGTCTATTGTATGCAATCAACTCCTGTGACCGTGAAACAGGTTGGGACCATCCATAGGGCAATAACATCCATGTAACATGAGAGAATGAGGAAGAGCAAAGGATAGAACTAGAATAGTCCCATGTATCTCAACTGTGACGCACAACACAGAAGAAGAAATTGTAGGAGGAAGATAGAATATCTGAAACCTGTGTGAGGACTTATGTTGATTGGTTCACTTGAAATCCAAAACCAGCTTGCAGGGTATTGACATCCATACGAGGGTAGGATGATGGCTCTCAATCAAAGGGAGTGAACTGAATTTTGACATCTCACTCCGTTGTATGATTAATCACAACTTGGAGGATATTACGTTATCTACACTGGCAGAAAACCACCCTACTCTGAACTGAATGGTTATAGCCATCTTATGTGGAACCCATCCAGCAGGGTACTTCCATGGTCAACCACCCAAGCAGCTTGGAACTGGTAAGGACTCCCATACTCCACTACAAGAAAGGAGGGTGAGAACACATTGGAGAGCCCAGAGGAAGTGCAATGGGTGATCATGAAACCCTATTTTGAAAAGCATACCATACTGATTTATTCAGTCAAGGAAAGGCAAGGGATGAGCAGTTATCCCCTTCTACTTTATCCATGGGTGGTACGGTCCAGGAGAGGCCAATTTATAAAGTAACTATCACAAGGTTTTTTTACCTACAAGCGATCTTGTGAAACACCCCATCCCAAAGGTGAGTGTGCAGAGCCATGGAAAGAAAGTACTATTCAACATGTTGTACAGTGCAGCTTGAGAGTTAAAGAATACCTGGCCAGGTACCACTTTCTACAGAGTGGGATCCAAGTAATGATGGTATGAAGATTGGAGTATCGCTACAGGTGGAAGGCAAAAACCAGAGAAAGCCGAAACCATGATATGATGTAAATAATGGGTGATGAATGTGTTAGGATTGTGTGAATTGTAGGATTTCCTCCAGAGGTCAACGAAGATGAGAAGAGAGGGAAAAGGTGAGGTGTTGTATTTGATTAGAAGTAACACAGTACAAAGTACGCTGGGAAGGGGACAAGGAGGAATAAGCCAACTGGAAGGGCAGGGTTGGTAAGAGGGTTGACGATTCCTGAAAGAACGGATTTACATGGTAAGGATGGGAGAGAGAAAAATCCTGTGTTAATGGGAAAGGCGAAATCAAGGAGACCAAATACCCCTGGTTGAAAAGCCACATGAGAAACTTGGAGAAACCAGCAACAATAGGGCAAGCAGCCAGAAATTCCCCAGTCTGGGCCCATGTGTGAAAGACCTTCCACTTTTGCTAATACACTTCCATAGAGGAAGGACAGATAGATTCCACCAATGAGAAGCTACATGATGGGAGAAACCAGATCTCCTAGCCAAGGACCAGACAAAAGCCAGACGTGAAGACAGAGGACATGAAGTGCAGGATGTAGAACCAGTGACTGGGGTTGACGAAGGAGGTCAGGTAATAAGGAAGTGGTAATGGAAGGAATAATTGTAGGTGGAGTAAATAAGGAAACCATGGTTGAGCTGGCCAGTAGGGAGCAATCAGAAGGACCTAGCATGGAGTGGCATGGATCAGGGAAACTACCAAATGAAGTAATCGGATAGGAAAATAAACATATAGGAATTTTTGTGCCCAATCATGACTAAAGCCTGAGGATGAGGAACTGGGGACCAAAATAGGTGTAACTGGTGATTGAGATTGGTGGTGAAAGCATTGATGTGAGGAATACCCCACAGACTGCAAGACCACTTGAAAACTAGAGGATGAAGGGACCACTTCATTGGGTAAACCTTGTTGGGGTGAGAAAGATAATCAGCTATGAGGTTGAAAGCACCCGTGATGTAAAAGTGTTGTGCATGGGCCTAATATAGGAGATCCAATGTGCAAAAACAGAGGAATCTGGACTGGGTGTCGCCTCGGTGATTGATGTAGGCCACCACCATGGAATTGTGGGAATTGATCATTACCAGACAATGTTTGGCAATGAGAGGAAAGTGATCCAAAGCCCAATGAACAGTTTGGAGCTCTAGGACATTGATATGTAAAGCTTGTTTATCTAAAGATCAATGACTCGAAGCCTCCTGGTGCTCGACCCATGCACCCCAACCTTGAAGGGATGCATCCATAAACAGATGTAAGTCTGGACAAGGAGGAGGAAGTGGGACACCCACTGATGTGCGAGTCTTGTCCAACCCCCAAAGATCATCTACAAGGGAAAGAGGAAGGGTGATGGGAGCATCCAAGGGATCCCAAGCAAGATTCCTTTGATTGTGCAAATTCCACTGAATGGAGTGCATGTGTGCACAGCCAAGGGGGATTAGTGATGTCATAGAAAACCTCATCCCCAAATTTGACAGAACCTCATGTGCAGAAAGTGAGGAAGCAGACAGGGTGTGGCAAACTGACAATTCCATAGAATGGAGTCTGTAAAGAGAAGGTTGGGCCCGACTGAGGTGAGTGTTGAAAAAGACACCCTAATGGACTAAGTATTGGATAGGACTTCTCCAATTTGATCAACCAACCTATCTGAGGAGCTTCAAAAAGGAGCTGACGAGTATGACAGACTGACTCCTGTTCAGAATGAGCCAGAAGCAGCCAGTCATCCATGTAAAAATGGAAATGCAGCCCCAGAGCAAGAAGATGAAGAGCAAAAGCTCATACTACCTGACAGGAAATGTCTGGAGCTGAAGCCAGCCCAAAGGGTAGGGTGCAAAATTGGTATACCAACCTTTGATGGACGATCTAAAGATAAGGAGAGACCATTCTGAGATAGGAATACACAGATAGGCATTGGAGATGTCCATCTTGGTCATCTAAAGACCCGGATAAAAAAACCACTAAAGATTGAGGTAGAACTCCATGGTGAAATGTGGGAGGTGAACAAAATAATTGAAGCAGGACAGATTGATAACAGGCCTCCCATCCCTGGTCTTTTTGGGAACAACAAACAGACGGGAGTACAATCCTGGTGATGGAACAGGTTCTATAGCCTGTTGGGTGAGGAGGTCCTGTACCACCTCTGATAGACACTGGCAAGTTACTGGATCCCAAGGAGAAGGGAAGGAAACAGGTACCTTGGACCAGAAACGGAATTTCGAATCCCCCTGACAAAACCTGAAGAACCCAAACATCCAAGATGAAGGGGCACCACCAATGAATGAAGGCCACAAGGTGATCTCCCACTAGGTAGTCACTAGAACTGTTGGCAGTGTACTGTGCATCATCAAGAAAAATGGCGAGCTATGGCACCATAGGGAGAAGAAACAGGTAAGAGATGGGAAACTGAAATAGATGCCGCACTTGGCCCTGACTGAGATAAACGGGAAAGTAGATGGGAAATAGAAGATTGCTGCTGGGCAGATGCCACCCAAGACTCTAAGGATTCCGGGACCATATCAAAGACAAAACAACATAACAATGGAGCCATACACAAATCTCAGAGATAAAGTGCAGGTAAATGGGTTCAAGATAAAACAGCATCACAACCTAAAAGGTCCCAACAACAAAGATACCACATTTGTAAAACCAGAGCCTAGAAGAAGATAAATGAGTCAAGAAAGAGATAAGGAGGGAGACGGTGTCCCCAGAAAACCCCTCGGGTATTTCTGTGAAGAGCCTCAGACATGAGATGGCTCATGGATAGGTACCGCAAAAGGGTCGTGAGGGAGGTGGAAAAAATTGGGCATGGGTGAGACTAACGGGAGATTCGGGGCCCGCTCCCACAAATGGGCAAAACTGAACCCAACAGCTGTTGGTTGAGATATGGACAGTTCGCCCTATGAAATACAAGGGCCGACTGATCTGAAGCCCGTGGGGGATGAGGCATACTAACACCATTGCCCAACTGTGAGGCAAATTTCTCAGCATGAATTCGAATCTTAGGGGACCAGGGGGGGGGGTACACCAAATAGGGTTGGGAAGTATGTTCATATAATAGCAAATGACACAGGTCATAAAATATAGGAGCAATGGATAAACATCACATACCTCATGAATAAAGTCCAAAAACTGTAGACGGCCAAACAGAATCATCAGGGAGGGTATGGGAAGTCACGGCAAAACCAGTAGATGGACACAGGCGATCAAAGTCCTTATCAACCTGACCAGGTTCCATAGGTTCAGGAGGAAGAGGGGAAATGTCTGTAGATAAAGATTGACCCATATAGCATTCAATCTCACTGCACATCTCCTGTTAGGTCGGCAGCACCTGAAACCTGTGTTATAGCACCTGTCAATTGTGTAAAACCCAAAGTGGTGACATTAACTTTGAAATTCATGATGATATAGTCAACAAAAGAATTTGAAGTAAGAAATGTGACTAAAATAAGGGTAAGTGAATTGAAATAATGTAAAAAAAACTGAGTATATTAAATTAAACCATTTCAAGAAAATACAATCCCAAACAAAACCAAGATGAAAAAAGAAAGATGTCTGAGTGCAAGTGCTGCCAAACAAGAAGTGATAGTTTGGCAGAGGTGCATAGAGGGAGGCACATGCATCATGTGAGTGTACTATGTTCCTATTGGTGGATAGGTGAAGCATGATGATTTGCATGAAACACACGTTGGAATCAGTTGGTTCCAAGAGGGGGATGCAAAAGGCTTGTGGAATGCGTAATTAAAATGTTCACATACAGAAGGCAACAAGAACAGGCTAATCTTGTGAGTGGAGGGAAGTAGTGTATTGGAAATTGTGGAAACTTTCAACAAACATTAAACTGTTAAAAATTTTACCAAGTTTTTTACTTGTCAAAGCACATTTTTGACAGTTCAGCTTCTATATACAGCCTTCATGAATATTTATATTATTGTCAATATTCATTAGCTATCTCTCTCCTGCCAAAGCATGTGTAATGACAACCAAACGGCAGATAGTTAATAGCCTCAAATGCAAATATAACCATACATCTTAGCACAAATTGAGATAATTATCCAACATCTAAATACCATGACCGAAAGTAAGCTACATCTATTGGTTTTCTAGCTGCTCTCTTATTTTTATACTGCTATATCACATATTGTTACAAATATTATTGCACCAATGCAATGACACCTATACTTGTGCATTTGTATATTTTAAGTTTCTTCTGTCTCACCAGAAGATTTGTTTTTGCCATATAACTATCTTTATGCATAATATTCAACCACATTTCAAGAAGACATAATCACCATTACATACATGCTATGAATACTTTTGTGTCTTCCAACAAGGCAATGTCAGAGAGACTCACATAGAAAAGTGGCTGAGTCACTCGCAAGTCAATGTCAGCAACTGAGTGTCTTACAAGGCAAGAAGTACAATACACTACAATACAAAGAAAAAAGCATCTAATTTAACAAGGGTTAAAATATTCATACATACTCAGCTGTGAACTGAACAATAAATCTCTTAATTCTTTGTTTTATGCTACCTTATTCAACTCAATACATATAAATAATTAGTGATTCTTGAAACAAATTTTATGAAATAATACGATTATACAAGCTCTAAAATATGTCTCACAGTTTTACATAAAGATAACAGGCAAGCCCAAGAGTTAATAAGTTTCATTCAAAAACATATCACATATCTTTGATAAAAAATTAGTACTTAATAACAAATTGTTCATATTTATTGTACAACATTAATATGTTAATTTGTCTAAGTGCATGTACTCATCTCTTTTTAATCACAACTTAACAGAATACCTACAATGATGTAAAACTTGTGAATTACATTTATCTAGTTGGTTCTAACTTTCAGAATAGTTTCATTTCACAAGCCATTGAATGTTTTTAATCTTTCATAAAATTTTTGCATGAGTTTTCAAAGAAAGAATATTTACCATATTTTTTGGAATATAAGATGCACCCTTATTTTGTAGACAAAGTTTTGGGGGGAAAAAAACTACAGTCGCATTTGAAATATTTTTATTGAAAAAAAAATTCAATTTGATACTTTAAAAATTAGTATATATATTGTTCTAAACACAAAAAAACTCAAAACATCAAAACCTACAAAATCTTCATTGCTTTCACTGTCGCTTGGAAAGGAATCATTGGATCCAATATTATGGTCAAAGAAAATGTCATCCTCGGTCCCATCCACTGCGTTACTGATACCACATTTCTTAAATGACATAATCATTATATCACTTTTTACTTTTTCCCAAAAATTCTTCACCCACACGCAGACCTGAGCAAGTGTAGGTCTCTTCCTTCATCCTGTAGGGGTCGTAGCAAAATCTTCCTCCTGCATCCAGTTATTCCATTCCTCTCTCATTAAAGTCTTAAAGGGTTTGTTAATAGAAACATCGAGAGGTTGTAGTTGACTTGTTAAATCGCTGGGTATAACAGCCAGCTGTGTTTTTAGCTCATTAGCTTTTTCCTTTATTTTTTCGTTTTATGAGCTCTAAAGGAATCCCAGACGAGGAGAGAAGGTTTTTTTAATAAGCCTCCTGGACGTTTCGACCAAATTTTTTCAAACCAAAGTAGTGTTCCGTCTTCATCCATCCATCCTTTTTCATGTACGTGAACGTAGACACCGCTGGGTAAATTGTCTTTGAGCATTGTTTTTCTTTTAAAAATTAACATTGGTGATAATTTTGTTCCATCTGCACAACATGCTAGCACCACTGTATAATGCGTTTTTTCGTGTCCAGTAGTCTCAACAGTAATACTTTTAGTACCTTTTATATCAGTTGTTCTGTTGCTTGAAATATCAAATGTTAAAGGTGTTTCATCCATGTTTGCTATTTGAGACAATTCAAATTGAGTTTTTTTCTTAACTGTATAATATACTTGTGAAAAGCACACATTTTCATCTCAAACTCATCGGGCATTATTTGAGCGATTTTCGTTTTAGTTCTCATAACTAGGTCTTTGCATTTCATGAACCGATAACACCAAGATGTATGACCAGTAAAATCATCTAAAATATTATCACATGCAATCCTCTTTGCTTTAAAAATTATCATATTTGTAGAAACGGATTGTCCTTGCCTTCTCTGATCCACAACTCATTCGTACAGTTTATTTGCGAGTTCTTAACATTTTTTTCCCTTGGAAATTGCGTTTATCATTTTCAATTCTTCTTGTTCGCCAAAGAAACGAATCATTTTTTTTCTGTTGGTGGAGGACCAAAATATCTTTCGGCAGCTCTGTTCCATGCTCTTTCGCATAATTAATCACAGTTAGTTTAACTTTAGCTGTGTATGACTGTTTCTTTTCTTTAGACATCGTAAGGGGTGAAAAAATAGAACGAAAAATGAAGAAACAACTATTTTGCTCCCGAGGCCTAAGATACGGTACTTCGGCTTTCGGTGACACATCCAACCTGACAGTAAGCACGTGCCAAACTGCCGAGTATCAAATGAAAATTGAAATACCGATTAGGCGATTATCGACGCTAATTGCATTGAATATCCCAACAGTACAAATATCATACCCCAGTTGTAGTTCCCCACTGTATGAAAAGTGGTCTTGTTCTGTGGTATGTTCTTGCCTAGAATTATTGGTGAGTGGCAAAATTCCTTGAAACCAGCCTCAATGATGTATGAAAAATGCAAAAACAGTATTTGCATTTATGCCACCATTTCTAATTTTGAAGTACTGATCATATGGAAGATAGCCAGTCAGAACACCCTACCACCCATACTAACAAATTGATTGTTACTTTTATAATGCACCTGAAGCTTAAAGTGAGAATATTTTGTGGTATCATATGAACTCAGCTTGCTAACTCCAAAATCCAGAAATCTACTACAAGGCCACCCTGTATCCCTCCAGTAACGGACTGGGTCTCAAGCTTCTTATTTGTCAAAATACACAATTTTAGTAATATTCAAAGATAAAATTAATTTTATTGCATTTTTAATACTATAATAATTTATATATATATATCTAAGGCAATTGTTTTGAGATATTTAGAAAAAGAATTTATGTTTGGTAATTGTTTTCAGTCTGGTGGTTTCAAAATCATTTCTGAATAAAGTTTCATCTTCATTCTAAAATGTGACTGTATGTATGCTCAACAAACTTTTAAGACCACATGTGTATGTATATATCTATAATCTTTTGTTTTGTGACAAATTCATTCATCTTGTAGGAGAATTTGAAAATAGTCCATGGTACATTTTTAGTCTTACAGCTTTCAGTTACGTTATTTATTATTCTTGATATGCATACCATTTACAGGCATCCAATACTCAAAACTTATTTGGTATAAATAATGGGGACACTAAGATATTTACTGCTGTAATTTTTCTGTTATGATAGGGAGGAAAAATCTCCTGTACAAGTGAAACCATTGTTGATATTTTTTTTTTCCAAGTTTATCAAGGCTAAACAATGACATATAGAAATAAAACAGTGAAGCACCAGGATTTATCCCATTCATCATGGCTAAACCATGACATATAGAAGTAAAACAGTGAAGCACCAGGATTTAACCCATTTATTATGGCTAAACAATAACATATAGAAGTAAAACAGTGAAGTCTCATGATTTATCCCATTCATCATGGTTAAACAATGACATATAAAAGTAAAACAGTGAAGCCCTAGGATTTATCCCATTCATCATGGTTAAACTATGACATATAGAAGTAAAAC